TGTTTATTAAAAAGGCAAAAATTCTTACAAGAAAAGTGTGAAATTAACAATGAGGAAATTACATTTTCTATTTCATATATTTATTTGAATCTACATATATAACTTTTTATTATAATAATTAAATTATAAAAGATAAAAAAAATTTCATAAATGTATTTAAACTAAGTATATATTAAATATATACGATTTGAAATTGAAATTTTTTTTTTTTTATATTTATATTTCCCAAATGTTATATACTTTTTTTGAATAATGAGTTTACATTATTTTTGATTATATAAATATATAAATTAAATATTCAAATATTTTGTTAGAGCAATGAGTGAATAAATTAGTAAAAAATAATTAAACTGACTCCTCCTGTTTTTGTTTACTAAGAAAAATATTGCATTATAAATAATTGAGCATTTGATTTATTAGTTGGCTTTTCAGTTATCTTGCTAATATTGAACAAATTAATGAAGGGAGAACATGTATATAAAACTCCACTTATTTTATTTTTATCAAATTAAAATATTAATCAAATTGTTATTATTTAATTAGATGATGTAAAATATTAATTGTACCATTTACTTTTGTTGTTGACTTGTCAATTGGTTAATAAAAGTCTTATTTAACATTTTTGGTAATAAAAGGGATTAGCTATATGAATAATACATAGTTACTTGTGCACACGCGAAAAAAAAAAAAAAAAAAAATTATTGAATTTTTTTTTGATACTTTTCTTTTAATAAAGAGAGATACGTAAAAAAAAAATATATTTATTTTTTTTAAATGATTTAATTGGAGAGAGAAAGTTGGTAAAATAAAAAAATCGAGAGTAAGATTTAGTACCAATAAAAATAAAATCTTAAACAGATAATAATGTTTACATAAAAGAGTTTAATTTGCATAATATTTATATTTTTTATTTTTTATTTTTTTGAGAGAAAATTTTATACATATGACAATAAAATTTTCACGTAATTAAAATTCATATAATTAATTTGCATTTTTACTAATTGTTTATGTTTGTTAATTCAACAGTAATATATATTAATTGCTGAATTTAATTCATAACAAATAAACTAGTAATTTACAATTAATTAATAATTAATGTTCAATAAGAATTTAAATTTTTAATAAAAATAAGGATTTTTATTAACGTAAATAAATGCCTATTGAAATCAATGAATGCTGAACGAAATATATTACGTAATTAAGAATCACTCATTCAAAGAATATAAAAGTATATATAAATACATCAAAATCGTAGAGAAAACTCAACATACTCTTTATTAATTTGTTTGTTCAGTACTCTAGCAAAGTAATCGAATATCCAGTTAATAAAGGTAGAGAATATTAATAATTAACATTTTAAAATTTGGGTTGTAAACAAACCCTACACAATTTCAAAGAATAATGGAAAGTATTTTCATGAAATTAATTCAAGGGAATTTTCTAGTTGTGTATATTTTGAAACCATCATTCTTATGAAATCATCATTTGAATATATGAAAATGCTAAAAAAAGAATTCAAACTACTTATCAATTATAAAAGTAAGAGTAGACATGAAAAAGTGTGAAATCCGTAGGATATCTATAGCTTATTTTGAAGAAGAGATATATTAAGAAAACATATGATTTTCATTAAATAAGTTGAATATAATCAGTGAATTAAAGTGTTCTAATTCTAAAAAGGAAGATCATTCATGAAAGTTGTTAAATATTAGAGAAATTATATCAATAATTTTTCAGAATCTACTTGTAAAATAGCTTCATTATTAACTAAAAACAAAAATTCGAATGAAATGAAGTATATTCAAAAGCAGTTGAACAAATATAAGATTAATTAAATAATTTATCATCCATTTCCAGAATTAGGAAAATCATATACCATAAATGTTAATGCATCAAACTATGCCATAGGAAGTGTATTGACTCAAGTAGACAATAGTACAAGTCATACTAAATTTATTCACTATACACTTAAGAAATTAAATGAAGTACAGTGGAAATGGAGTACAGTTGAAAAAGAATTATTTGCAGAAGTAATAACTTGTGAAACATTCAATTATATATCAAAAGAACTAAAACATTGATTAAAACTCATTATAAGGGTATTACATGAACGGATTCAATTAATGCAGAAAAATTATATAGATATAAATTGAGATTATCAGAATTTAATCTAGAACATGAATATATTGAAGGAGTTGAAAACTTCTTAGATGATTGGGTAACTAGATAAATCGAAGATGAAACTGATATTTCTAATTATATTACACTATATTTTAATAAACTTCAAGGAAAATACGAAGATTTATATATTATACCCCTTATGAAGAAATTGCAAAGGCAACATAAGAAGATAAGACTAACATACCAAGATGCGTAATATGGAAAGATAATTTCTCAATTCACTATAGAATAGGAAGATTATATATATCTATCTGGTTTATTAACTGGGTGTTAGGTAACTTTGCTAGAGTATTGAACAAACAAATTAATAAAGAGCATGTAAAGTTGCCTCTACGGTTTTGATGTATTTATATATATTTTTAAATACTTTGAACGAGTGATCCTCAATTATGTAATATACTTCATTCAGCATTCTTTAATTTCAATAGGCATTTATTTACTTTAATAAAAATCCTTAATTTTATTAAAAATTTAAATCCTTATTGAACATTAATTATTAAATAATTGTAAATTACTAGTTTATTTATTATGAGTTACATTCAGCAATTAATATATATTGCTGTTGAATTAACAAACATAAACAATTATTGACAATTCAAAAAAAATATATAAATATTAATTACATGAAAATTTTATTGTTATATGTATAAAATTTTCATTTACAAGATTTATCCCAAATATATTTTATTCCCAAAAAAAAAAACTTTTTTTTTTTTTTTTATTATTTATTGGTAATAAATCTTTTTCCACTTGATTTTTTTTTTTTATTAATTTCTTTTCCTGACCGTCTTTGCATTTTTTTTTTATCAATTTTTTTAAAAAAAGTACAAGCAAAAAAAAATTCATCTTCATTTTTTTTTTTTTTGTGTGTGCATGACCAACTACGTATTCTTCATTTACCTAGTCCTTTTATTTTCCAAAAAGGTTAATAAAGCTTTTTATTAACCTCAAACATAAGTAATTAATGAAATACAAATTAAATTATATAATCATTACAAATCTGAAAATTTTATTATAAAGTAAATAAAATATTCTCTTAAAAAAAAAAACGCAAAATAAAAATCCACTACTAGAAACTCTCTCGTCAATAAAATACTTCTCATCCTTTTCGAGCATTATTTTTCCTACCATTAAATCTTTTTGTAAAAAAAAGAAATATATTTTTTTACGTATTTAATTTATAAAAAGAAAACAAAAAAATAATAAAATAACTTTTTTTTTTTTATATAACATTTGCATGGTTGTGTATTCTCCATACATATATTTATGTTTATTCGCAGAAAGGTTAATAACCCCTTCTATTAACCAATATGATTAAAAAATTCAAAAATGGAATTATAAAATCCATATATATATATATATATTATTGTGATAAAGAAATACATATTCTATTAACGAAAATCAAAATGTTAAGCAATAATACTAAGCAGATATATGAAAGGAAATTGGAGAATTTAATATAAATTACTAATAAGAATAAGAGAAAACTAAATTCTCTGCATGTATTAGTGGTTTATTAACTTCTTGTTTAATGACTTTTGTAGCATTGTAAAAACAAATTAATAAAGAATGTATAAAGAAAACTCTGCTTAATTTAATCCTAATTAAATTTTTATGTTTTTAAATCTTTTAACTTAAAATAAAATATATTTTCTATTATAATTTACACATATACTATATTCCCCCCCAAAAAAAAAAGATACTTGATATATCTTTTTTTTTTTAAATTGTAGATACATAAATAAAAAAAAAATAAAAATTATGCTTTATTAAGATTCTTTTTTTAGT